TGAATCTGAGTGTTCTTCGCCTTGTGCTACGAAGGACGTTCGATTTGTTACGAATGATGTTATCAGTAGAATTGTTTTTCCTATCTAAATTTTACTTAATTAATTTCTAAATTATTTATTCCTTTACCCTATAGATGCGGCTGAATGTGTGCTCGCCCGATGTGCTGGATCCTTTTATGCTCGCACCACAACGGGATGTACATATGCTGAACTTGTAACATTCCATTAGACGTGTTGATTCGTCTCTGAGTTCCCGGGATATCAGGCGTGGCTATGAGAACATTCCTGAACGTTCACCACATAATTTTTGCTGGAACCACATTCTAAGCCTAACTGCTAACATGCGTGCAGAATATATTAAAACTTGCTGCTGTCTTTACGACATGATAAAAGCAATAGTTGTAACAGCTGGCTTTAAAACTGCTGAATAATTTGGAACTTTTCTTTGTAAAATTTTACTCCCAGCCATTCCTTGATTCAATGAAAATTTTATTTTTAAAGTCTTCAGTTTTCGAGCTGTATCTTTCATAACTTGTTTTTCTTTTTTGGGACCCATTTTCCCATATTTTAGTGTTTTAAAGTGACGGTACAATTTATGCGATTTTAAAATTCGACAAACATTTGATATTGTTAACTAATTTTTTTTATAACCTTGCACAGCAGTTTTCTTTGTTTGGTATCAGAATTATAAAACTGTAGTATTTCGCTCTCAACAGCTTCAGTTAAACGAGGTGAAATTTTATAAACCTTTTTATCCTTTAAAGGTAACTGTATTTGTTCTCAAGGAAATTATTAATTATTGTAACAGTTTGAAAAATCCGCATATCTATCATTATTGGGTCACCTGTAACTAATACAACTGTCTTACCCCTACCCGACACGATAATTATTTTTAGTAGTTAGACAGAGTGCATGTTATAAACAAAAAATTTTTGTTGAAGAGATTTTCACAGTTTTTACAATATATGCTACAGAAAGCTTAGGTTGAAATACATTTAAATTCTATTAGTTAAGACAAGAACAGCTTGTTTAATTTACAGTGGAAAAAATTAAATAATTTATAAAAAGAATGTGCATTTTACAGTAATGACAAAAGAATACAGACATAATAAGCAAAAATGTTCATGTTTATTGCTTCATTTACATCAACTTTAAAAATTAGTTCTTTAAAAACATTAGCTTAAAATTCTATTAAAGCGCAAAATCTAAAATCATTGATCAATGCGCGCTTGACATAAGAAATAGATATTCCTTCATTCCAGGTGTAGATGATAAAAACTTCAGTATTTTCTGCCAATAAAGAAATTTGTCTGTTAATAAACACATGAATATCTCTCAAATATTTGCACAAATTTGTATAAATTATATAAATTAAATAGAGAATGCATAATTGATATTTTTCACATTTATGTCAATAAAACTTTGAACGCACTTTCACATTTATAAGCAAAATACAGCCATTAAAATATTTGCAAAACTTCATAAGAAATACGTCTCGAATGAAAATCAGTGTTTGTATAAAATGCAGAAAAGGTTACACATCATATCTACATTTTTGAAAGTTTATTACGCTATCTGATGCATACAAGTGCATTAATTTGTTGTTTTACGTATAGCTGAACATCCGCATTTTCACCTATCATTCTACAAAGAAAGCATATTTACAAGTGACTAAAAAATGGGCTTACAGATTCAGGTCATCGGATTTGCAAGGTATGCTAAAATATCAACAAAAGATGACTTTATTTCTAAAATCTTCGTTGCTGTCTTCTGTTTTCTAAAAGATGAATTTTATTTTCTGAAATTTTGAAAGCACTTGTGATTTTAGCTAAAAGAATCAGCGACATACCGTGCAAACTGCGGGCAATGTACAGCTTGTAGGGTCATTAGGTTTTTTTATGCTGGAGACGTGAAAAATTAGCAATGCCCTAGCCAGGGCTCAACCTGGATCTCTCGAATACGCTCCGAGTGTGATACCTTACACCACGAAGGCATGCTGGATGGAGGGAGAAAATACCTTATATACTCCCTCTTTTAGAGGGCGATTGGAGATTAGAGGATCCTATTGCCAACTCCTGGTGGTAATAAACTATTGATATCACCTTTTACTTCAGACCCCACTGAAGAGTCATTAGGATTTTTTGATGCTGGAGACGCGTAAAATGAGCAGTGTTCTTGCCGGGACTCAAACGTGGACCTCTCGAATAGGCGTACAGTGTGCTACCGTTACACCACGAAGGCATGCTAGACGGAGGAAGAAAATACCTTATAACCTTTGGTCCGTCTAGAAAAGCCATAAGGCGAACTTGGGCAGGCCAGGAAGGTGGACCGAGCCATACCTTCCTACCTTATAACCTGGAATGTAAGAGTTATTTTCCGTGCTAAAATGCAATTCTGGAATGGAACTCGTTCATTAAAGTGGCTCATCAATGGCAATTTCAATTTGCTAAATTCACCGGACGTATTTAATTTCGTCTTAGAGTCAGCATATCTAAAGCGAAACAAAGTCGTTTCTGGGCATCGATTTCATTTTCCAAATGGAATACGAATACAGACCAATTCTTCTTATAAAATTCTCCACGAAGACATTCGTGCATTTATAAATGTTCTACCAGCAAGTATGTTAATTTTCAGAGCAATGGCTTCAGTATCTTCTATAGTATTCAGCATCCTAAATCACATTTCCTTTAATAATTTCAACTTACAGACCTTAATTCTTAATTGTTCAATAGTACGTAAGCGTAATAATAACTAATGTTTATAATAAAATCCATAACTATTATTTTTAATTTCCTGAATATTTCATAACATAAACATAGCTGATAATAATAGCTGTTATTTAGAAGAAAAAACCATAATTATTATTCAAATTATATGACGTAACATATCTAGAATTATTTTTCTCCTTCGCTTCATGTTATTTAGATTGCAATCACAACAGTGTTTCTATAATTTTGTATTACTCATTCATAATTTGTTTCGATATGCAGTGATTTCGGATGCCGCGCAAGTGCTCAGTAAAATAATATGCAAAGAACTCTATTCCATAATTACATGCTTCGGAAGAAAAGCAAGCCAAATTACACCCAAAGAAATTTTACGAGGTTCTGAAGTTGAGAATGCGGAGAAGTGGGAAGAACAAGACGACGCAGAATGTCGCGAATAATAATAAGAAGATATAAATATATTGTAGAGCAGTATGCAAGTTCGAATACATATTATGCTGAAATGAACAAATTCAAATAATAATTTAAGATTATTAAAACATATACATAGCTGAAGGTAAATGAGGATTTCGGAAGTATTTTCAAACTGTATATATCAACATTTCATTGTAGAATTAACCTCAAACTCACTCTTTCAGAGTTAAATTGTAAATGTTCTAAATGTATTTTCGCCTTCACCAGAGTTATATTAATTAAGCTTCACCAGAGTTATATTAAAATTTGACAGTAATATAAAACATTTATTAATTACTTCTATACTGTAAATCTAGAAAAAAGGAATATGAAATTTTATCTCCGCCACCAACTGGTAGCAGACCAGAGCTTAAAGATGCTTTTGCTGTTTTTTTGGAAAATGGTTATAACTATTTTGTACACACAACCTATGTAAATCCTTTCAAGAATCCTACCTGTGATATGGATATGTCTTAAATTCAGTTCATATGTCTGAATATTGGGAAGTGTTCCTGTCCAGGTATTATTTATTTTTCTTTTAAACCTTCCGAGATTCTAACCACATTTTCACCATTTTTTCTGTCATCTCCTCTGACGGACAACTACACTTGGCGCATTACTGTACCAGCAGATGCACACAAGAGACGCCAGTCGTCAAAGAGCTGTACATGTCACGCTTTGCACAAATTTCGAGAAGTAATTGTTATGGTTGATTGGTTCAGGCTCATCACGTAACGATCTAGATTTGAAAATCTTGAAGTGCATGAAAGGACACAGTTATTCCTTGCATTCATTCGTTCGTAAAATTACTTATCACGGTTTTCAGTCAGTCTTGGATGCAAATACACAACTACACCTTGCGAAAATAAAATACCTTATTTTCTTATCAGTCATTCATTAGATTATTGCTGATGTATTCACAGTTCTGGTTTCCATTTTAGGGAAAGATATAAAATCCCTTCAAATTTTTCAAAACATGTTTCTGAGAAATTTTGAACAAGCATCGTATTTGATAAGAAATCCAGGGCGTCACAAGAAGGAGCAGCTAGAAACTCTTCAGGAAATCTAGAATTTATGATATCGTCAACTGGGATAACCTCAGCTGTTAAATACTATTGGATAGCTGTTACTACATGACCTTCTCATCTTTTCATGACTATATAAGGCAACAAATCTAAGTCATTACCTAGTATATTTCCTTCAGGCTCTCACCAGCTTCTTTCTTCCTTAGGTTCAAACACTTTTATTTTTTAGGAGAAAGCAAATTTAAGAAATTTCACCTGCAATTCCTTAAAAGATTCCACTGATTTACGCTAGAATGCGATTTTAGCGACAATATAGTAAAGCATCTGCGTATAAAATCATTCAAGATTTAGATGCGCACAAACAAGCTCAAACGTTTCCAAAGGCTCAAAGTAATACATTCTGTTGAAAAACAAATCTATGCAGCCAGGAAAATTTGAGCAACGAAACGCGGCACGCGTATGTATGGCGAGTCGTATGAATTATTAAACTTAAGCACCAATCAGCATTGTGGAGCGATAGAAAGCGTGTCTGAAATACTCGACTGGTAGAATATACTAAAAGGACAAGTGCGGCGAGTGACGATTGTACAACTCACGGATACACGTTACGAACGTGGTGTCGTGGTGTAATGGGCAGCATACTCGGCGCGTATTCGAGAGATCCGTTGTTAGAGTGGGGAGCGCATTGCTCATTTTTCATCTCTCCTGCTTCGAAATAACCTAATGTCTCTACAGAGAACCAAATTGTTATAAATTTTAGTCAGTATCACTATGGTTTTTCTAAAATTTCTCATACGTTGGTACTCGTTTCTATCCTAGATTCACATTTGGCATGTACAGGAAGGCAGCAACTGCACATCATGTTCGCGACTCGCTTTGCGATAGCAGCGTTTGCATTGAAAAGTAAATATATGTACGGATTAACCGTACTGTTCGATGCTGAAAATATACCAGCCATTGCCACAACATTCTCGTTCAAACTGGATGGATCTCCGAATGCTATAATCATCTCCTGTACTAAGTACGGCAAAGATGTGGTTAGAAATGTAACCACGACAGCCAGAGTCATCTTCAGTGTTTTAATTTTGGCTCTTGGATAGTGTGGGTGAGCACAACTAAATTCTTTTGGAATGCTGTTGGAGGCTACAGAATCTGCAGATGTTACATGTCCGGGAAAAGCTCGACTTCTTGTCCAAAGCACATACAGAATCCTAGCGTAAAGACCAATAATAAGGCAAATGGGAAAGATAAACACAGAAAGAAGTACGAATCCCATATACATTTGTCGCGTCCTGAGAGACAATTCGGCTGTGTAAAATTTGGCAACGCAGAATCTGTTTCCAGAAGGATCGATGTATTGGTGAAATACGTAGGCATTTGGAAGTGAGGGTATAAGTGAGGTTAACCAGGCTACGATGAGATAGCATCGAGTATTGGGTCTTCTTTTCAATGGGTACACAATTGCTGTATGTCTGTCTAGGGCAATTGTAACGATTAGATAGTTTGAACAAACCATAGTGAATGTCTGCAACACTTTGAAGATGGAGCAGAAAGCAGGTCCGCCGATCCATTCTTTGCTCATGCTTTCCCAGACAAGCTGAGACGTCATGGTGAAACACGTTACAAGAAGGTCTGCCACAGCAAGGTTAATAAACAGCAGTTGGATACGCTGATTCCTCCTTCGATTTTGTTTGATGTGGAAACACATAATCGCGTTTCCCAAAAGAGAAGTTGCAATCATAAACGTCAGAAGAAAAATCCTCATCTGACGATGATACTCTGGACCCAGCACTCTAGACGTGGTATCGTCTTCGCTTGTGTTTGAGGACGTCTTATTCCAGTTTGTTCGTGAAGCTTCAGAAATGTTCGAAATGGAATACTGGATCAAATTTGCCATTTTGTTGTGATTTGATTCTGCAAATGGAATTAAATAAAAATAAATATTATTCTAAAAACCAGAAAAAACAATGAGTTTTAATAATATGTAACAACACATGATAGAATTTAACAAAACATTTCACAGAAATATATAATGATAGGTTGATTCAACAGATTGAGCACTTGTTTTCAAAATTAATACAAATGAGTGGATGTTGTGCCTCCGATCAACCTTTAAATATGGTAGAATGTAAGGAATTATTGCACTTTGTCGCGCAATTTCTCACAGTGTAAGTAGTTAAGACAACCAGAGGGTAATTATGAGATATAATCTTTTATTTACCACTCACTGCTAGAACTCCCCCATATTTAGATCAAATCAGATTTTAAAATTAAATAGAAACTGAAGTAAGTGTAATTTTTGACTATCAAATCATAAATCGAAAAGATTCTGAAAGAAAGTTGACGTCAATTTTACGTTGCTAAACTGACCAAAATGAATAATATACCTATGTTTAAAGGTAGTAATTTTCTTTCTATATGATTATTTCACTTTCTATGAAATAAAAAATATAAAAGAAATTATATACGCGAAAATATTGTTTAAGTTATAGAGTATAGTTACACGCATAAAAAAGTTAAATTAATTTTTAAATATCATAGTGGTCATATGCTACAAACTTTAAGCCTATCAAGCCCAAATACAGAAACCATATTAGAATAGTTTTTGATTGACAGATTTTAAAGACCAGTAAACATATACATGAAAGAATTTTAGCACCCTTAAATTTCTCTTAGACAATTTTGATTTAAAATTCTCTATTGTTAGCAGTCTCTCAGTTTTTATATTTATAAGCATATTTATGAGCATATCACGAAAAATAGTACAATAACTAAAATAATAATACATTACAATTTAAATAATTTATCATTATGAGTTTAAAAATTATTTTGTGTGTATACGTACTGATACAAAATTTTAAGACTAGGTTAATACAAAATAATTGAAAGAAAACAATCATTTCACTCTTTAGCCTTTAACATGCAATACTTGCAAATATACAACGCTTTACTTGACTATTTCAAGGATCATATCTTTTGGAATATTACTTAGTTTCTGGTTATGATTTCAAAATCTCTCCTGTGCTATCAAAATAATGGTCTTTTGTAAAAAGACGTCGCTTTAAGAAAGAAAAAATGTAGTCCACAAGTAGAAAGTAATAGTCTGTTTTTCCAAATTTGAGTTTTCAAATTTGGCTTTGGTTCCGCAAGCATTTCTGCGAAATTTGGAGACATTTAAAACTAACTTTTGTAACTTAGAGAAAACTAGAAAAAAACTAAGGCAACTTTCAAAAATGAAACTCCACAATAACATAATAAATAGAACATAATTATTATCGTGGAGGCCATAATTCAGTAACTGTTGCTATTGTAGAATCCAATTTTGGTCATTCTTCACTCTTCTCTGCTATTTTTTGGCCAGCTTGTAAGGATCTTAAGTTTTACTAACGTTTATTTTTATTTTAAATCTTTACTATCACTTCTTATTTTCTACTTCCGGCCAGAATTAAAAGCGTTAACTTATTTATGCAAAATTTGTCTGGCGAACGCCAAGTACTTAAGTTGTGGCTTTTTGCCAAGCGAGAGAGAGGAAGGAGTTAGTCGAAGCAGGCCGCTTGCCTTAGAAGTTTTACTCGGTTGCTGTTTGCCTTCCAGGCCAGAGGTTTAATCCTCGTGATAATTTTAAACGTATTGTAGTGTTAACAGTTCTCTGTATACATACGGCTTCCTGTTAATATAAGGCCAATCTTCCACGTTTATTATTCAAAATTTAAGTTAGAGTTTAGTATAGTTTTATATTCTTACGTTCCGACCACAAGTAGTTGGTCTCTGTATTCCGAAGTACGGAAATTATTGTAAAGAGTGAAAAATAAAGGGTTTTGTATACCTTTCTTGTGTATCTTGTCTACTTCCCACAGTTATTGAACATAGCTTTAGTAAGCTCCCTGTTCCGAGTCAGGTCCCTGCATGTTCCCAAAGAAAGTAAGACGGAACATTGAACCTGATAGTAGCGCCCAACGAAGAAGAATAACCATGGCCGAGTTTCAAGAAGAACCTGTGCTGCCTGCAGAAGCGGCTCAGAATCCAGAAATGCCAGCTGCCGCCCTGGAAGGTTTTGGTTACATCGTCCAGACCATGCGCGCTTCGATGAAACCAGAAGCAACATTAATGGAAACTCACCGGTAACCATTTTTTTGGAAAAATTGGATGGCCACTTCATGCTCTCTACCCCGTGCACGAGTTTCAATAAGTTACCTTAGCTACCAGCGCTTTGAGGGCCAAGCGCTTAACTGGTTCAAATGTAATAGGCAGAAGTCTCTTGGGTCAAGCAGGAAGTCCCACCTATACTTACGAGAATTTCAAGACTGCCCTAGTAAAAGCCTTCCCTGTCGTAAGGGATCCTGCGAAATTAGAAACGGAACTTTTCAGCATATATCAGCAAAGAATCGAAAATCTCTCAAGCTTTATTTTAAGAAAAATTCACGTTTTCAAACTCTTGTATGGAAACCGTCCGGATCCTGAGATAATTCAAGTGATTTTGCCGAGGTTACTTTCCCAAGTGCAAGACTATACTGAATTAAGAAATCCGACTACACTGGAAAAGTTATTTGAGCTAGCAATCCAGTTTGAAAGTAGAAGAACGGCGGACATTGAAAGAAGACGCCAATATCAACAACGAAACCAATTTGGTGCGCCAAGACCACAGCAAAGTCAAGCACACGGCTACGGAAGCAAAGCGAATCAGTGGGCAAGGAAACCCGAGCATTCAAAAACAGCCGGCGAATGTCGACAGTTCAATAGCAACCCAGGAAAAAAGTCTCAAGGCCAGTGGAAGAAGGAAAGCATGGAAACAAAAAAGGATTTAAACTAAAACGGATTTCTGCTGACGGGAGGGTGCGGAAATCCAAAGGCCAAGAAAACCCCTCTTCCTTCATGTTAAATACAGTAATGGTGAAAAATTTGACTCTTCCGAAGATTGAAGTGTTGGTGAATAATATCCCAGCCACCGCACTCCTGGATACAGGCGCGCAGTGTTCCTGTGTGGCAGAAGATTTTTTTAGGAAGTATTTTCGAAATACCGCATATATAATTCGGATAATACGACAGTGTTAGCGGCGCAAGGAGAAAGATGTAAATGCATAGGTAAATTACCACTATACATCCGTATCAAGGACGAACAAGTAAAGGTTATGTTTTTCATAGTAAAGAATCTGCAAGCACATATTATCTTAGGAATAGATTTTCTTTCAGAGGCACAAGCAACGCTGGATTTTAATGAAGCGTCTCTTAAGCTGACGATGAAACCAGTTCGAGAAGAAAAGGCCGAACCGCCGATGTTAGACCTTGACCACCTGCCTAATGAAGAGCAACGAAGAATCCGATAAGTGGTAAATGAATTTGCTTCGTTATTTAGTGATATTCCAGGATTTACTCAGGTTACTAACCATAGTATTGACACCGGAGATTCAATGCCAGTTCGCCACAAAGCATACCGGTATGATAAGAATAAGGAAAAAATTATAGAAGGGCATATCACTGATATGCTACGTAAAAAGATCATAACGCCCATCTCAAGTAGTTATGCTAGCCCGGTGGTTTTATGTAAGAAAAATAATGACTATCCATTGACACATCCAAAAAGGTGGAGATTCGCTATTGACTACTGTAAATTAAACTCCATAACTAAATATCCGGTATATCCGTTACCTATTATTGAAGAAATTCTAAGGAACATAACATCGACCAAATATATGAAGACTTTAGACTTAACGACTGGTTATTTTCAAATAAAGGTTAGGCCTGAGGACGTTCCTAAGACTGCATTTATAACCAAGTCTGGCACTAATGCATTTCTGGGTATGCCGTTTGGCCTTTCAGGGGCACCAGCAACATTTCAGCGATGTATGGACATTGTGTTAAGGCCTGTTCTTGGAAAGTCCACATTTATCTATCTAGACGATATCATTATTACTAGTGATAATCTCGACCAAACATGTACAGGATTTAAGACAGGTGTTTTCTTTATTAAATGAGGCCGGTCTAAAAGTTAACGTCGAAAAGTGCAAATTTGCAGCCCCTGAATTAAAATATTTACGTTACAAAATATCTCAGAAAGGAATCGAGACAGACGAATCAAAGTAATTGCTGTACAAAAGTATCCGACTCCAAACACGGCGAAGAAGCTCACTTCTTTTCTAGGACTTTGTTCATATTATAGGTCCTTTATAAAAGATTTTGCAGCTATTGCTGAACCATTGTTAAAATTAAAAAGGAAAAAGGCAAGATTCTCGTGGACGGCCGAAGCCAATAGTGCGTTCGAAAAATTAAAGCAAGCATTAACTCAAGCCCCTGTGTTGAAATTTCCTGAAAAGGATGAGAATTTAGAAATTTCAGCGGATGCTTCGGATTATGCGGTAGGAGCGGTACTTTCGCAAAATCAGCAGCCCGTGGCAATTTTTTAGCCGAACTTTAAATCAAACACAAAGAAACTATTCCGCGACCGAGAGAGAGGCACTTGCAGTTCTGTTAGCAGTGCAAAAGTTCCGAGTCTATTTTGGAAAGGCTCCAATAACAGTGTACTCTGATCATGCGGCGGTAACTAGATTGTACTCAGGGAAAACTTATCCCCAAGGTTAATAAGATGGGCACTCAAGCTACAAGAATAAAGAATATAATCTGGTAATCAAGCATACCCCGGAAAAGGAAAATATCGTAGCAGATGCCCTATCCAGATTAAAATAGATGAAGAAGGTTAATACTGTAAAGGTGGCAATGCTCACAGCATGTACAATAAATTCCGAGAAACTGTAATAACCGAACTGGGTAAGGATCCTGAAGTTTGGAAGCATTTATGAGTATTTAAAAGGATCCTGAAAATTTTAGCCACCAAGATATTGTGGCGATAAGAAATAGGGCGGCCCATTACGAACTAATAGATGGTCTATTATTTTATACAAA